GGGCGGGGCGGACGCGCAGAGCCGGCTTCTTGGAGGAGCGCTACGGGCCGTGGCGAGGGCCAGAAGGCCTCGGACAGCGCCACGCCTTAAAGGGACGGCACTCAGCGCCACTTCCTGCTCAGAAGACTTCAGCCCAGAATTTGGGGTAGTGCAGGCTCTCCTTTTCCAGTGCTTTGCAAAGACTGCAGTGTAACAATACGTGCAGGAAAGTGCAAGCGTGCCCCTCGCATTTGCGCAAACTGAGCACACCGTGCCCCTCTGTGCTCAGGGTTCTGGGCAAGTGAATTTGCCCCAGCGTTTCCCCGGGAAGCGGGCTCCGTCCTGGCGGCCTGGGCCCTTCTCTTTCCCGCCGGTGCTGCGGACAGCAGATTCACCGTGAACCGCCAGAGCCTCCGCGGCTCCGCCCCGCACCAAGTGACCTTCGCGTGGTACCTCCGTGAATTCTCTGCCCCTCGGGTAACAGGTGCTCGCACCAGCTGTCCAGAAAACTCCAAGTCTCCGAAGCCCGGCCTCTGCCCAGCCCTGCCTCTACCCCGAGCCATGGAACAGGGGTGGCCAATGTAGCTGTCACCTGGGTGGTTGGCAAGGTGATGTCACAGCTGCACCCTCCGGGCCAGGCGATCGCTTCCATTTGAGGATGGGAAAGAGGAGCCCCTCCTCCCTCCAGGAAGAAGGTCTAGGGGCACATAGTCTTTCTGCCACCCCGAGGGTCCTAGAATCTGGGAGGTCACTGACCATCAGGACTACAGATAAAACAAGTATGGCCTCTTATCCTCCAATTAGAAATGGGAAGGCAGAGGGGCCAGCAGGTGGCATAGTGGTTAAGCTGATGGACTCCCACATAGCCAACCACTGTTTGAGTCCCCGACCCAGTGGCTTCAAAATGACACCCCAGACATGTGCGTGTCCATGCCCGAAGTCCCTGAAGGAGAATGGAGAAGGGCTTGCCATGTGGCCACCCCCCTGGGGGGTAATTTCTCACTTTCTGTCTCTCTAGTGAGGTGTGCTTTCCATGCAATAAACCTTAAAAAAAAAAAATAGTGAGAGCACAGAGTAGGCACAGGGATCTGTACAACGAAGCGTTCTGAATCAGAAACACCCAAGGGCCCTAAGTTGGTGGCTATCATAGACGCGGTGGGGGTGGCAGTTGGCCTGTGTTCCCCTTCCTAGAAACACAGAGCCCCAGCGTTACTCCTAGAGGGTTCACGTGCCCAAGGAACCAGACTGCCTTGG